TTTGGTGGTTAGATCAGCCCCTTTGTACAAATACTGAAAACCTCAGAGGATCAGATTCTTCAGATTTGCTGTGTGATTTGTATTTCCTTACCTACATGGAGCAATGACTTGTGATAAATACATTAGAGATTCTGCAGAGCTTTGACAAAATAAATATAGTAAAAATCCAGATGAATTGTGTGGTTATCTAGCATAACTCCCTGACCTCAGCACTTCCTATGTCTATAACCTACAAAGCAGTATTGTATTTAGAGAGCATGCCGTAGGATTTTGCTGTCTGAAGCTGGTAAATAAAACTGGCTGGAGAGATATGGGAGTCTTGGTGTGCTAAAATGATGCTCATGGACAAAGCAAGCATCTGAGACTGAGGGGATTATGCCAAGTAAAACTGAAGCTGAAACAAACTTGATGTTAAATATAGTTATCTCAAACAAAAGAGGTTAACCTGCTGAAATTACATTCCAATGTTTATCTGATTGGCAAAACTGGCTTGTTATTTTTTAGCTTCAAAATTTATTGGCACTTCAAAAAATGTGTGCCATTTATTTCCATTCTTATTTTTACCTGTTTGGAGCCAGAGGTAATTATTTGCTATGTTTGTGTAACACCTAATACAAACTTCGGTTAGATTGCTAGGCATTACTTTTGTAACAGGAATAATACACATCCAAACTCTGCATTGTTGACTGCACACATACACAAAGCCAGCTGTGTGTGTATCTTATTCAGGTCCACCAATTTCCCAGCCTTTAGCTGAATTCTCTTATTGTCTGTTCCTTAAGGAGAAAACAATGACCAGGGAAAGGCACTACGTGTAGTACTGTCCGTGGCACTGCCAAAACCACGTGCTGTATCTATAAAGCAAGACAGGGATGGAGAGAGACCAGCTGTGGTGAGAAGACACAGCCCCAGTGTCTGATGTGCACGGTGTAGGGGCTGGAAATCCACCCTGATCCAGCACAGGATTTATGCAAGTTCCCAGCTGGGCCTGGACCTGGAGAGCTTTCAGTGGGCTCCTGGAGCTTGAAATATTCCCCTTTTACAGGCAGCGATTACACTGCAGCAATTGCAGATTCTTCCAGGAGGTGGCATGAGTTTTTTTTATTTGCAGAGGAGAAGAGGGGAAGGTAGGCAGAGATAAAGATTTAGAGGAAAGCAGCAGTCTGGAAACCTTCTCACTCTTCCCATGTGGAGGGTGGTGCAGCTCTTTGCACGTGCTGGCCTCTGGGAGACTGATACCTAGTCTGAATGCTGCAATTTCTGAAAGAGGGGATATAAAATAGCGTGAACCCCATCTGGCAATCAGCAGACTAGACAAGAGGGCTAAGAGAGGGGACCTTCCTACCTGCCGATGTTCAGTTAAGTGTTAGCAATAACAGCCACATGCAAAAGCCTTAAATATTCCATCACATCTGGGTAATTCATCATCACATACTGCTTAATGGTGATGCTTAGCTGTGCTGGAAATAATACTCGTGAAAACCTTGTGTTTAAGCAGAAAGGGAACCTGTCCTGAGGCTATCACCCTGTTCACAGGAGACCTGGGTGCCCAAAATGTATTTGCTCTTCCCTCCTCCAGTGCACACCTTGCATCTCCCAGACAGCCAAAGGAGGGCAGGTGCATCAAAATCCTGCCCTGCAAACCGGGCAACTTAAAGGAACAAAAAAACATTTTATATATGAACATTGTTGGTGCTGTAATAGCATCAGGAGTTGCTGTGAAGGGTCAAGGCTCTTGTGCATATGCTGCAAGAGCAGAGCATTGCTCAGGGGCTCCTTCCCACCTCCCAAGCACACAGCTTGAATGCTCCTGATGCCCCAGGGCTTGCAGAGTGTCCTCTAAACTCGCTCTCCTGAGACAGCCTGGCATTACAACAGCAGGGATATTTTCTCAGGAAAGAGTTCTCTGTTCAGAAATTGATTTTTGGCATACTTTTGTGGGACATTATTGAAACCATTTGTAAAATTGCTGTGCTCTGTTCCTATAGTTTCATGCAGGAATTGGAGCAGCAGTGTGGAAATGAAACATTTCAATCTCAGTTAATATGGATTGTTTCAGTCATTAAAACATTTCAAGAAGGTCAAAGGAAAATACTGCCTGAATATTTTTCTTGGTAAAGAAAAATGGAGAGTTGCCTTTGAAACCCTGATTTGGATGACCCCAATTTTAAATCTAGATTTACGTGGATAAAGCAGCTCCAAATCTGGATACATTTTAATCACACTTTGTAGCCAGAGGCAAGGGACATAAACTGGCTATGTCAGTAAACCAGAAGAGTCTGCTTTTGGACCTGAGTGTAGCTGGGGTTGTGGTCTGTGGTCACAGCTTCCAAACAGGAGGTGGATGACCGAGAGGACACCAGAAGGATGATCTTGTAAACAGGCTCAGAGCTCCATTATACTTAACGGAAGAATACAGTGATATTCATCTTGCTTAATTTTAGCCCATCTAGCAGCTGGTCAAAGATGTCTTGGCTCCTGCTATAGCACAGGTGCCTCTGGAGAGCAACCTGTCGTGTCCTAAGATAAGTGAACAAGCTGCTGATGGCAGAAGATGTGTTGAAGAGCATGAGTGATTGGCTTGGACAAAGCGGCTGACTTTCCTCCGGTCAAATATAAGTGTGATCATTCCCCCAGCAAGAGACAAATTGTACATGCTCCAAAAGCCACCATCTCACAGCATATGGTCAATAGTCCTGACTTTAAGTTATTTCACCTAAAAATTACCTGCACATGCAGCATATTAGAAATCTCAGTAAACCAACAGGAAATATTTTTGGCTGGCATGTGTGAGGTCCTAATAGTGGTATCCCATGCTCTTGAAACCCTTAATTCCTGGATTTCCTTGACACTTCCTTTTCAGAGGTACCAACCTCCTGAAAAGGTACCAGCTGCTGAGATGATTCTTATACCTGTCTTTAGAAATTTAGAAGCAACATATCTACCTCTGGGACCAGGAAAAAGACCAAGGAAATTGAGGGGTGGAGAAAGACACCTTGACCTAAGAAGCTCTCTTGGACTTGCTGCACGTATGGGCTGTTGCCCTGTGTTCCAAGCACAGTCCCCATACCTCAGACCCTGAGATGAAAGACATGTGTGAATAGTCTCCACCTGAAGTATGGGCCTCCGCTGCTATTCTGTGCTGCTGATGTGCAAACTTCCCATCACAGATAGCTTTAGCTTGTGTCTTCTGTCTCCCGGTTTAAAAGTGACTGATGGGGCCAATTGTCTACCCGTCCTTTTTTTTTTTTTTTTTTTTCTTCTTTATTTTCTAACCTATTTGTTTTAAATTCATCACTTATACTGGAAAGCTGAGCATTTCTTCTCCACTTTATCTTCCTTCCTTTGTTAATCCCCTTGTCTCCCACCCTTATCTGTAATACAGAGGAAGGAAAAAACATCTCTCTTAATTATTTAACATATTAATACCATTAGGTTTCTATGTTTTCTTTTGCATAAGCCACCAGAACCTCCTTCAAAAGAACAGCATGTATCTGTAGCCAGGCTTTGCATTTATAGATCATTAACAAACATGGTTATATGAAATTCTGGCAGTTTGTTGTCTCTTTATCACCAAGTAGAGAGCAAGAAACAGAAAACCCTTCTGCTCTCCTTTGAAAGCGTTTAATACCTTCTCCTCATAGTTTCTCTGCAGCTCATGCCAAGAAAATATTCCTGCAAGGTCAGATCTGCTGGGGAGGCCAAATGAAATGTTGGACCTTGGCGGAATTATGGGATCATCCAGACAGGCAATTTTGGCCTTGGGAAACAGCTTTCCTCCATGAATTCATAGAACTGGCTCTAGCCAGCTTGTTTTTAAAGAAATAAAACAAAGTCTTTGAAGGGCCTTATCTATAAGTAACACTCAGTGGCTTAAGCCTAAGAGACTCTGGGCTACTATATCTGGTTTCTTTTCTGTCTCCTGCCACATTTCTGACACCACCTGACCTTGTTGTATTGGCTTTCCTTTCCTGGGAAGAAGAAACGGGGAGCTTTGCCTCTATAGTGGCTGAAAACCTTTCTGCCTGAGCAGAACCACAATGTCCCACCCAAGGATGTCCCCGGGGCTATGAGCAGGTGCTGGCAGCAGCTGATAACCACTTTTATTAGCTCTGGGAAGAGCCGGACCTGCCTTAGCTGTGCTTGGAAGCCATGGCCAGCAGGTCAGTGCCCCAGTGGAAATACCTGCTCAGGGCTTGACGGCATTTTGAGGGCATTTTGACGCATTGACGTCATATTTGGCTACAGTCCTTGGCCACATGTGTTAATTCCATCAAATTAATGCTGGCCACAGGTTCTTGTGACAACCCTAGCCCAAACAACAATGCAGAGGAGATGTGAATAGGCAAAAAAAAACTTCCTGGAAACCTTCTTTTTCCTAAAGTCTTGGGGAGCAAAAGAAGAGCAATAGGTACTGTGCTTGGAGGGTGATGCCAGGCACTTGTGGCAGGTTCACCAACACCAGCAGGTCCATTTTGTCATCCCCCTATCTCTGCTGTGATGCTTTGGTGCGGTTTGGGCGGTGGGAGGCTGCAGGGGTGGCCTCTGTGAGAAAAGCCCAGAAACTGCTTTAATCTGTTATCAATAGGCAAGAAATTATATTAATCTCCCTATGCTGGGGCTGTTTTGCCTGGCTGTTTTAGCCAGGCCCCAAGTTGGGGCTCACAGGGCTGGAGGCAGTGCAGGAGCCCCGGGACGTGCCCGGGACCGTGTGGGGAAACGGGCTCAGGGTGCAGGGAGCCCCTGGGCCACCCCCGGGTGGGATTTTCGGTGCTTTTTGGTGATCAGCGCCGTGCCCAAGCCGGTAGGGGCAGGCGGCTGGGTTAGGAGCAAGAGGCACTCGCGTTTTTTTCCCGAAATGGGACTCGGTTAGCACTCTGTGGGCTGAACGGGGCAGTTCGCACCTCTAAGCGTTTCTTTTGTGCCCCACAGGTGAAGGCAATCGGCAACGCCGGCCTCTGCCCATCCTCTGCGCTGAAAACTGCGGGGCCAACAAAGGAGCACAGGGGTTTGCTGTGCTGGTCCTGTAGGGCCAGCAGTATAAAAGAGCCGTGGGTGGTGCTGCTCTGGTCCTGTAGGGCCGGCAGTGATGGAGCTGTGGGGTTTTGCCACCGGCACGACGGCTGCAGCTGATGGGGTGCAGAAGAGCACCCTGAGAGGAGGCACGGCCTCGAGCAGGTACCGCACACTAACCGCGGCGTTTCATACCGTTAAGCTTGGTTTGTGCTTTGAAAAGAAAAATGAGGTGTTGGAAGGGTCCCTGTGGCCCCTCTGTGCTGTGTGAGCCTCCTGGTGCTGCCCCGGCAGAGCCCAAAATGTTGTTTCTGCCCGGAGCAGGCAGGAAGGGAGCAGGGGAAGGGGCTCCCTCCGGGTTCCCTGAGCAGCAGGGTGGGGGGCAGCCATCCTGCTGGGGTGGCTGGTGGTGGGGAGAGGCCTTGGCAAAGGCAGGTTTACAACTTGCAGTGATTTAAGCAAGTTGCATTTATTTAGCAAGTGTATTTCGCTAACGGATTAATTGTGTGGGTGTCTATATGTGCTGGGAAAGGCAATACTGTTTACTGGCATCGTACTATAAATGGTTGCTAACTTCTAATTCACTGCTTGATAAATATCATAATTGATACCACAATATGTTAGCATGCAAAGCATGAGCTTCTCTTTCCTATGGATTTATTTTCATGCACAAGCAGCTTGGAGAAACCTCCTTTCAAAGACCAGGAGATCTTTGCATCTTTCTTCCACATTGCTAAGAGAGTAGGACATCTTCTTAAAAGAAATAGCTACCACGGGGCTTTTGTTTGCAGAAATAAAATATTAAAACTAAGTGTATCTCTTGCAGAGCTGGACTGAATAACTTGTAGGTATGTTAAATTTGCCTAGTTGATCATTGTGGGAGCCGGTCAACAAACCTGAGTGCTGCTTTTTGTCTGAGGAGATAACAGAAGACTTGTGTTAAATGGTGGGAATGTTGTCATTGGGGCAGGGTGTGGAGGAGAATCCTTCCTGTTAAGCTGTGGTAAAACTTAGAGGAAAAATATGCTTTTAGCCATATGTGAGGTTAGAGGAATTAGATGGAGTAGTGCAGGAAGGTGAGGTGACTGCAGTATTGCACTTCACTTTATCAAAAAACTAGTTTTAGACACGAATTTTAAATGTTCATCTGCAATATATTTTTATGTTTAGACTCAGGTTCAGACCCTCAAATTTTATTTAGGTGATGGATTTCTGTTGAAATGAGTAGACATTTAGCACTAAAGTAGCACTGAAATACGAATGCAGTACTTTAGGACTCATTTTATGTTGTGTGTAGAGCCTGGGGTTCTGATCCCCCTTGTTAACCCTTGTGCAGGTTTTCTGATTCATGAATATCTTGGAGTAATAATTTGGTGTAGGTTTTGTTCCTTCTTAAATTGGAGATTGATTTAAGCAGAAAATCCTGCATAGGGATTTTACAGACATTTAAACTTATTGTTAGTCATATTCGTTAGCAAATGGCTTTTGTTCTTTTCATTTCTTTTTGACACAGTAGCCCTCGTTTCAGGGCCAGCAAGGTCTCTTGCAGTCTTATTTCCTCAGGGTACAACAGGCTTTGAGGAACAGTTTGCCTGCAGATGGCTGTTTCTTTTCCAGTTTTCCTGGTATTTTGTTTTCAGCTTTTGGAGGTCTGAGGTTTATGGCTGTGTGTGTGTGTCTGCAGGCGCTTAATAGTGGGGTGTCTGTATTTGTTTTGGTGTGTGTGTATTTTTTTGTTCTTAAGGCAGAACTGTTTTGTTATGTCTGGGCTCAATTTCCTATTGAGGGGACTGTTGGTTTTAGTAGCAAAATGGGATTAGGCAAGGTTTCACAAAGAAAGTAACTATTTTCTGCTTTCTGGCATTGTGCCTTCAGAGAATGTGAACATCCACGGTCCTTTGAGATGAAGTTTGCTTTTTAGAGAGAAGTAGATGCCTAACATTAGGTTGGGAGGATTGCCATATATCCAATCTGGGCTTGAGTATTAATTACACATTTTAGATTCAAATCACCCATTTTGCACAAAACCTTGATGTTATCCTGATGCTCCCTACTGAAAAAGTTCCCCTGCATTTAGGCTGCTCTATCTGTTGGATTCACGTATTGAGGTTCTGGATTTTGTTTGTGTGGTATCAAAATAAAGGCAATTTCCCCTTCTAGACATCTGAGCTTTGCTATCTCGTTGTTCTCTTCGATGACTTTTTTTACCTGTTTATAAATAACATTTGCTTGAATTGGCGGGTCATGTGGAGTTGCCAAAGCATTTCATTATTTAGCATCAAAAGATGGCATATGCCGTGGGACCAGCAGGATCCTGGCTACCTGGAAACCTTTACAAGCCCCTCTTTTGCAGAGATGATGCCTTGTTAGCTCTGTACATCCCACCCGCTTGACCCAGGTGTTTTAAGAAGAAAGCTTGTCTCCAGAGGTTAGTCTGCAGGTGGCAGCAACAATCTTTCCCTGCAGCAGCTGGAAGTGCTGCAGCAGCCTTCATTGATTCCTGCGCATAATTTGGCTCCTTAGAAAACCAGCTCGGTGGTAAAACAGACAACTGTAAGCAGAGAGTGCAAAGATTGTCGTCTAACAACTGGCATGTGGGGATACTCTTCGTTTTCTCCTCCCTTTTTGTCTCCTTAAGAGAAATTCAGATGGCTGGAAGGAAAAAAAGACTGCATTGCACAGTACCAGACATACGCAAGAAATCACATTTATGTGTGGTGATTGGTTAGTCTGGCTGGGTTTGTCTGAGTCCTCTATTGAGCAGCTTTAGGCTTTTTGTGCTTCTGGGTGTGTATTTTTTTTTCCTCCTGTTCATTCTGTGCTGTACTCTGATAGCGAGGAGCTGTTATTTCACGATACCAGTAACCAAAGACAGCAAGTCATTTTTGTGCATTGTTATTCCAGGCAGAGACACAGACCTCTGGGCTCTGGGGATTTGAGTGCTTCGTACATGAACTTCCTGGCTGCGAGAGGCATCGCTTTCTGAAACTCCTGGTGCTGGCTGTCGTACCTGTCCATGCTCTACGTGCTGTGACCCCAGGAGCCCACCTGCGAGTGCTGCTTTGATCGTTTCTGTTCAGTCTGTGTGCTGCTTGCTGCAGCTCTCAAATTCTTCAGTACTGTCACTCAGAGGACTACTCCCATGTGGAAATGTTTCCTGGGGGAGTTCTGCCTGAAGTGGGGAAGCATGGTCTGTAGGTGGATGGCAAGGGTGTGGGGGCTGGTTGGAGCTGCAGGCGCTGTCCGGTGGCTGGGCTGGTACCAGCAGGCATGCTTCTCCTGTCTCTGTTGAAGACCTGAGAGAACTTCCTTAGTGTATCAGATTGTGTGATTTATTTATTTATTTTTTGCTTGGCCACCAGGTGGGTTGAGCATATGACCACCCCATGTGCTCCAGCTGCTGACAGCCAGCCCAGGGAGCAATGCCCTCAGACCTGTCCCATTGGCAGAAGGCTGCCACTACCAAATGGGAGGGTAGGGTGCTTTCTGCTGCCTTCTGCAGGAGGCCCTCCTACACAGAGGTACCAGACTGATAGATATGTGCTAACGAGATAGCAGCCCCAAAGACTCTGGGGTTATCCCTTCTACAGATCTGGGTCACCCTACTGTCAGATGACCCCTTCAAAGTCTAGAACTGGCACAAATCAGAGGTCAAGTAGGGGCTAATGTGCTGGTTAATGCTGATTGTGCCTCAGGTGGGACACATCCGAGATAACATTCTGTTGCTCACTCATGTGCAGCCAGTTACAGGATTAGCTCCTTAGCACAAGCTGGAGGAATACTGTTTGTGGTACAACATGTTGTTGCAGCAACAGTTTACACCGTGTATGAGCAGCAGTGGTACATGCAGATCAGGTGCTCGAGACTTAGAAAAAAATGCACGGACTGGTTTGACACCTTCCTGTTGGGAAGGATGTGGTAAATATAAATCCAGGCTGGGGGAGCCTTTTGGCATCCCAAAAGCTGACAGTGCTGCGGAAGGTGAGTGGCAATGCACAAAATTGTGTGAAACTCTAAATACTTGAAACTCCAGCACCTTGGATCTTTGCAGTCCTCTTGTGAGTGGAGGCAGTGCTCTGAGGGTCTGTGCTGCCCAACAGGAGAGAAAGATGTGAATCCCCATCGTTCTCTTCCTCCTTCCCCATGATCTGCCTGGGGTCACCCAAGGGAGGGGTAGCTCTCTGCAAAGCCATAGGATTGCATTTGATGTGGTTAAAAGAAACAGAGTTCCTTCTGGTTCAGAACTGGGCCCTCTTCTTCCCCTATGAACTGCCCTTGGAGACATTAAAATGCATTTTACTTATTCTTGCACAAATGATTTGCTAATTGACATAATCATGACACCAGACTGATTTGAGTGGATTGTTGCAGAACACAAAAACATGGGGAGGAAAATTGGAGTACTTTCTGCTGATATTTTCCCAACTTTTTGCTTCTCTTTCACTGAGCCGACTTTTCATTTCAGACCTTTCTTTAACTTTATTTTTGAGAAGTTTAGAAATGTTCCAAACAGACCTTTTCAATTTTGTTGAAGCAGATATTGTAGTCAAGCCAGAATAGGTTTCCCTTTGCTCTCTTCTTCTCACCCCCAACTTTCACAATGTGCAAATCAATCAAAGGGGAAAAAAAATGTATTGTTTGCCTGGACTCCTCATCTAGCGGCTCCTGGGTAGGGCAAAGTGATTGGATTTGTGACCCCTTGGTTGAAAATGCCTGGTTGACAACACTCACTTTTTTCCTTTCTCCTGCTGAGGGGAATGACAAGATCCTCTAGCTGCCCTTGGCGTGGGTGTGAGTCGGTACAGAAAGCTCTGCCTGTCTGTCCCTGCACGGAGAGATGTTTGGCATCTCTAATTCCAGCAGAAAGGAGGAAGTGGTCAGTGCAGGTGAATCCGCTGGAGCAGAGGATCAGTAGGCGTTAGCTCCTGAAGGAGAGTGATGGGTGATGCATTAAGGTGTGCTGTCGTGTGTTTGAGCAGCCTGATGGTACAGTGCTTTAATTACTGTTTGTGCATCCTGTGACACTTCTGTTTCTCCTGCTGCCCTTGCAGGAGCATTGAATGCTCCCAGCTGAAGTAATACCAACACGGACTTTGGGAAGTCTTTTCCCAGTACAGCATCTCCTCAGGCTTGGGTCTAATTTGGGTTTGTAAGGGTCCTGCACCGGAGAGGGATGAGTTAAACTGGAGCATCATAATGCTTCTCCAGACAGCCCTTTTAGCAGTGCCAGCCTTCCAGCAGCTCCCAGGGGTAGCCTGTGTCTTTACCATCTTCCCCTGGTAGTTGTGCAATGAGTGACCCCAGGCTGTTATTAGCAGTGTGATGGACTTCGGCTGCTCACAGTCAAATGGGCCCAATCCTCTGCTGTAGCTGTCTGTCGTTGGGCTCAGGCAGGTTCACAGAGCTTCAGTGATGCAGAATGGACAGCAGCCAACTGTAGAAAACAGATAAATACATAAATAATAGATGCATTCATCCTCCTCTGCCAGATTATCCGAATGGGTAATGCAGTCAATGAAATTGATAAGAAATAATTGAGTAAAGACATGGGATTCCTTTTTCTTTTTTTAATTCTAAGCAAAAGAATCTGTTCAAAGGTTTCTCTTGGTCTTTTTAGTTTAGGGTTGGGATTTGGATTATTATTACTCTTTTGTGCCTGGTGAGATGTGGATCACAGGATAGGAGCTGGAAAAGTCCTGAGCCTCCCTGTTGGGGCATGCAGGCAGACACTTGCCGACCGAGTGCCAAAGAGATTGTGAGTAAATAGACAAATTGCTAGTGGCACAATTTCTTGGAAATAAACCTAGCAAATTAGACTTGTTAAAGCAACTGCTGAAACGTCTAATGCCATTGAATTGTCAAAATAGAGAACTGCAAAGATCCTTGGTTAATTTACATATCACCAAAGCAAAAATAATGGGAAAATAATGAGCAATTATTGTCCCTGGCTCTCTGTATTCATTAGCTGAAGTTAAGACATTTATCAATATGAAATTAAGGTGACGAGGTGTGCATGTGGCACAATTATGTAGGTCAGCCAGAACTAGAGGAGGTGATGAGGAGGTGTAGAGGCACCCATTAGAGACTGCAAATGGGAGCACCAGTAACACCCCTTGTTGCAAGAAGTTGTGCATCAAGAGGAGCTGTCAGGACTACTGCAGTGTTTCAGCAGGGTCCAGGACACTTGGGAAGGGAGCAACAGGATCTGGTTTGTGTGCAGGACAAGTCTCCTCCAAATATTGAGGAACGGGGTAGAACATCACACCTGGGTCTAGTGTGTGTCAGTGGTGCCTGCCAGCTCTGGGTGGTTGCTGAGCATCCTGTTGACAACATGAGCCCTCCAGAAGCTGCTGTAGCTGGAAGGGAGACCCTGCCAAAACATACCAAGTGTATATGTGGGATATGCTGGGTTAGAGGATATATTTTCTTGTAGAAGCCAGAGAAATAATTTACTCTGGGGTGAAAATTTGGAGAGTGCTCTCCATCCCCTCCTATCTGTGAGTTTGACCCCAGCAGAAAATAATTGGTACTGGAATAAACACTGCTAAAAGCTGGGCTGCCTGTGGCCACAGGCTGTCTCTGAACTGCAGGTGTAACGGCCCTGCAGGCAGGAGAGGCTTCTGCTGTGCCTTGGCTTCCACCAGGAATGGTTCGTCTGACCTTTACACCCACCCTCCACCGCCACGGTAGTGATTACTGCTGGAGCCAGTGAGGCAATTCGCAGGGCTGAGCACGGTTTGACTAGCACAATTCCAGGCTCTGCAATGAGGTTTGACAGATGCTATCAGTGTATCTCCCCATAAATAAATATGTAATCGGGCTGCGTGCTACACTTTCACATCCTGAGGAAGAAATTCTGACACTCCTGTCCTTTTATCTCTCGCATCCCTCGGCAGCTGTGAAAAACCCTCTGACCTCGGATGCTCATTTTTTATCATTTCATTTCAGCAGGAGTTGGTGCCTGTGGAGTTCTGTTACTCCATGTTATGAAGGAGGAGGAAAGCAGCGGGCGTTTTGTTTAAATTCTTAATTGCAGGCACAGCAGGATTATGGAAATGTCAAGAGGGAAGTGACAGGGAAGACCTGGCAAACACGTGGGGGCTGGTTGATTCATCGCTCTTGCTTTTCCTCTGGGGTGGTGGGTGGGTTACGAGTCAGACGGATCCTACGGGCTCCTCAACCAGGACACCCATATCCCAGACTGGGCTGTGTGCTGGGCGTCTGCTGTGATCAGAGCCCTCAAGACAGACCCAGGAGTAGCAACAGGAACCAGAGCTGGTGTAAACAGGCAGGGCCAGAGCAGAGCAGCAGGGTTTTGTACCCGTTGTATGGACACACTGATGGAGCTGGTGTGAGGTGCTGGCATACCACCTGTTTGGGCTGTGTAAATGCTGTGCAGTTTGCTCCCCCTGCTTTGTAACAGGCTGGGTGCTGTGGCAGGACAAGGCTGGCTCCAAGCACCTTGTTGATAGCTGACACATCTCTGCCTTGCTGTGGTTTGGAGGATATTGCTCTTCCTGCTCTTCTCCAGTTGGACCTTTGCATGAGGTTTCATTCCTCACCTCAGGAATGTGGAGCTTGGTGGCTTCATTCTCATTTGGAGCATGCACGGAGGTTGTGCATGAGCCGCTGCCCTCCCAGCCCCATGGAGGAGCAGTGCCTGCACCCCTCAGCTGACTGTGATGAGGGAGGGTCCAGCAGATCCTGCTGTTGGTACCAGGCTAAAAAGTGCACAAGTGAGATTCAGGCTTGGAGCTGCTGCAGAAATGGGAGTTTCCACAGCTCCTCAAGGGGCTATTGTGCTGCCTGCTCCTGTTCAAAGCTCACTGTGTTCAAAGAGCTTGTTCCAAAGCAGACCCTGTGGCTTCATTTATCCTGCATGCTCTGAGCAATCCTCTCCAAAGCATATCCACTTTCTGTGCTTGATGTTGTAGTTTTCTTCACAGTTGCCTGTTAGGAATTGTAAAGGCAGGGGCGTGAAGTTCAAGTCAGCACACAAAGGTTTCTCATCCTCTCCCGAAGGGGGGAGCTGCCTCCAGCAAGTCCATTAGGCTGGCTGGCAAAGCTGTGTGGAGAAGACGTGCTGTGGGAGGCTGCTGCCAGCACGTGTTTGGAGTTTTGGGGACCAGGAGGGAGAAAAGGGGGAGCCAGAAACATTTGCTGGCCTGAAAGCTCCCAGACAGGGTAGAAGACAGGGTCTTCTGACAGGATCAGCCCTCCTGGAGGGTGGGGGGGAGCATGAAAGCAGGGCTGTGCCCGGCTCCCCGTCACATTGCTGGCTCTGGTGGGGACGAGGCCCGTGCCAAGCGGCTGCCGTAGCTCTGTGCCTGCCTGCAAGGCTCCAGTGCAAGGGTAGGTCAAAAGGAGAAACCACCCAGAGTGGTTCTTGCAGCGACAGACTCAAAAACGGGTTCTTTTGGCATTGAGGGGATGCAGCCCCTGCAGAAACAGCCCAGTTGTGCCGTCAGCTCTGAACTTGGCTGTGAGCACTGGGTTATGCTGGAGGGTATGGAACATTTTCCCACCAGCGGCAGTGGAGTTAGGCTCAGGACCTAGTGCTTTTGCACTCTGTCCTTGCTTATTTTCACAGCTGTTGGGGGAGGGAAGTTGTTGCTGTCTTTTCGGGTTATTTTGCTGCCTTGTTGCTTGCTAAAAGGGTGTTTTTCTTCGGTAGGGGATTAGAAGAGATGTTTGTGACATTTTGAGCTAAACTTTGCTGTTTCAGCAGCTAGCGATGAAGGTGATACCAGGCAATTGTTCCATGAGCAGCAGAACTAATGAGCCACTGGGTTTGTAGCCTACTTTCCTGACCTCTGCCTCTTCCTCCGTAATCAGAGTGGTGCCCGAGCAGCCCTGTGCTCCTCTCCCCTGGCTCCGTACCGCTTAACTTGGTGCTGCCAGGAGCTGGGGTGTCCAGGGGCTGGGTGCAGAGGCCTGCTTACCATGCAGGGCAGGCGTTTTCTCAGTTCACGTGACAGCTGAGGCACTAATTTGGCACTCTTTTCCCCATTCCCAGCATATTCCCTGCCCCAGGATCTAGTCCTATGGATGACCAGGTGGGCAGTGGTAAAAGGAATTTCTGCAGAATAGGTTCTTCTACTTGAATGCCTGTACGGTGTCCTTTGTCCATCTGTAACCTGTGTGGAAAGCCAGCCGCTGCCATGCTGACGTGGCTTTGAAGGGGATAGCCAAGGTATGGAAAGAAACAGAGCTGAGCAGTGTGAACAGGCACATGAGGACAGCAAGCACTCCTGATATGTTTGGGGGTATTTCTGAGCTGTGTGTAGGGTCTGAGGACTCCATAACTTTCCTAGAGACCAGGCTGGAGGTTAGGGGACACATCTTGTGCTTGGCTCAACAGCAAGGGCACAGCTTAGGTCTGGCCCCATGTTAGTGTCAGAATTAACCTCGAGGGTTTGATGGGATGTGGGAAGAGGCGAGGGTCTTCATGGCCATGCTGGG